TCATTAAATCAATAACTGTTTTGAAAATGAAAACATAGATGGCAATCCAACCTAGACGGCTCGACCTCTTCCCCTACAAGTTGTTGTGTAAGACCAGGGGTCCAATTCCAACATTTTTTGTAGTGGGAACCCAATATTTTGGTGATTAGTGTAATATTACATCTCGATGTTGTGAAATGAAAGCAATATTTGAAATCTGCAAATATCACGTCCTCCATTGTTTCGATTTGAAAAAATCAAAGAGGATAAATTATAGGATAATTCTCTCAAATATATTTTTAAATTTTTTTATCATAAAAATAGATCTTAAAAACTAAAATGATCAAAATAATATTTTTTATTTTGAAAATTTTCAATTTTTTTTTTAGTTTGAAATTCTATTTTCCGAAATGCACTCTTCAACTCTAAATAAAAATGCATAGGATTAATTAACACAAATGATATAAATGTAGATTTATTCATTTTTGATAAAATATTTAAATTTATTTTTATTATTTTTATTTTTAAGATCTATATTTGTGAAAAAAAAATTAGGTATATCCTAACAAATTTCTTTAAAGTATATTTTAGTCATTATTTATAACAAACCTTAGTTACAAATAATCGTTAACTTTAGAAAATGAACCCAACATCATGATGATAATGAGCCTCTGATTGTGTTGAGCTGTACTCGTCGTTGTGTTTTCATTTTTAATATTAAACAAATAACCAGTAAACAAATAAATCTCATGTGGACCATTTTTATGAATGTTTGGTGAAACAATATTACTGAAATGCTGTACACTGATGCAAGCCAGAATCACGGCCATTTGTGAGGATAAGACAGAAAAAAAACTAATAAACTGTTGTTAGAGATGGTCCTTCCTCTTAATACATCAGCTAATTAGATTGGAAAAATACTAAAACCAGAGAAGAATCAAATTAAAACATTATATTGTTATAGTCAGCAGCAGTGTTATTACTAATCTCTGCTTAAGTAGCATATCTTTTATATTTTACTTTAACATATTATAAGGTCTTATAACTTATTTTTGAAAAAACATATATTCACATAGAAAAATCTGCTGAGTCTATACAATCATTCATACATGTATTCTTTAATAAGTTTTTTTATTACTTAAATAATTTTATTACTACTTAAATAATTTTTTTTACTTTTTACATTAAAATTTATCATTTTAAATTTTCTATAAACAGAGAATAGATTTATTCAATTTGGATATAGAAAATATAATTATTAATTAATAAGAAAAGGTATTAAATTTTATTAAACAAAATGATTGTAGTGTGTAAAAGTTGAGTGTGTGTTGAATAATGAGGTGGAATAAAGAAAATATGATGTAGAATGTAAAATGATGAAGTAGAGGGTGTTGAATTTTATAACCATTGTACATAATCTTAGTTATGAAGTAGATTTTTTTTTTGAAATACGAAGTAGCTTTTATTGTTTACGTTATTATTGTATTCGAAAGTGGAGTGATTGGTTAGACTCTTTGATCAGAATCATTAGCGATTTTTTTGGGAATAACCATCGAGGAAGTATTCGACTCAACTACAAGTAAGGGTGGGTATGGATCGGATATCAGGATTTTTGAAGATATTTGTTATTTGTTTCGTATGTTACGAATATATAATTTAGGTATTTGCTTTGTTTCGTAAAATTACGGATATCCGGAAAATAAATAGATATTTGCGGATATTTACGAGTATCTCATCCGTTTTAATTAATACAAATAATCTTAAAAATTTGATACAAATTTATTTTATAACTTTTTTAAAAAAATGATATATAAAATAAAAATTAAAATAAGTAGTGAATTTACATGTTTGGTAATTTTTTAAGTTTAAGTCAACAATTATAATAACACAAACTTAATTTTTTTATAATTTACATAACTTTTTTTTTCTTTTTATGTAATACTTTTATATAATTAATAATGTGAATAGAATTGGTCAAATCATATGCTAGGATAATAGTTTTATAACTTTATACATTAATTTTAAATATAATCAAGATATACATGTATTTATATATTTCCGGATCGGATCGGATATCCGCTTCCCAAAATTTTAATATTTGTGATTTACTTTGATTTTAACGGTTGTTGATTTTTAGTATTTGCTTTGCTTCGAAAATTTATGGATATCCGAAATTTTCAAATCGAAACGAATAACAAATCGAATCAAATTTAACGGATAAAATGTCCAGCCCTAACTACAAGAATGAATATCTTAACTGAACAAGGCATACATAAACAAATGAACATTGTAATAATTGATTTAAATAGACACCATATATGTATGGTTACATAATGAGAGAGTCAAATGCACCAAATTAACCACATCTTAGTCACAATCACTTTCTATTGGTAATCAAGTTTGATGTGTTTGCATAATTATCAGTTACGTATTGTATGGTTTCCGATTAGTTGCTATATCAAGGAGATCAATATCAGTTACGTGTGAAATTTTATACATACTTTAAACGTAAGAACCGAAAATGATCTATCTTGAAGAAACCAAAGTTTTGGTGGATCATGAACGCTTCAGCATAAGTTCATCTATTTTTAAAAATGCATGTATAAATAGTAAAACAATATTGGACTCATCTTGAAAAGAAATTGTTTAACTAACCAAAACCATGTGAAAAATCTTTAGGAATGTCTGATGAGGAACTTTTCTGGAATTTGATCTCAAACCAAAAATGGGTCCAATAATATCTAGAATATTTTTTTAAATGTGTAGAATCTTCCCCAAGGAAAAAAAGTCTAAAACTTGTTAGCTCACAAAAACTTTCTGGTGTGTGTTATTAAATTTATCGGTCATTTAATGGTAATTAAATATGTATGTATGTATTCTTTAGTTCAGTTTTACTTACTTTCTACTATTTTTTTTATATATAGTGATAAAAATGTGTTTTTACTTAGATATTATTTCAATACCTATTTCTATTCAGTTTAATTTATATGGTAACTTTATTTTTTCTTATTTGAAAAGTAAGAAATAATGTTAAAATGATGGATAGTATTGTCATGTAAGTTGCTAAAATTAGTATCTTAATTGATCTAAATAATTGCTAATATTGATTCATTATATTCATTAGTTATAAAACTTCTCCGTAACAACTACTCTCTCAGTTTAATTTAGATGCTGTTGTAGAGTAAAAATTTTGTTTCAAAATAAATAACTTTTTATTATTTCAATGAAAAATTTATTGATTTTATATGTTATTTTATTTGTTCATTAGTTGAAATGTGGTTAATTGTATCGGTAATGATATTTTTATTTTGAAAATACACAAAGTTAATTGTTTTCTTAATATATGTACATAAACCTAAAACAGCAATTAAAATAAAATGGAAAGAATGAATATTAAGTATGATTCCAACTTCCAATTAATTGTTATGTCAAGCAGAAGGAAAAAATAATAATTAACAATATTTCTATGTTCTTCGTTTTAAGAAAACAAAAAACTATTTATCGTAACTCATGAAGTTGAGATATGAGCAATCCGTCAAATTTACGTGTTTTGTTGTTATTATCATTTCTAGTTAAGAGACAAATTGGTGAGCACAGATTCTCGTCTTCGCTGGAACATCACTTTCACAGACGACTCACAAAAGCATATGAACGGTATGATACATCCATGCCATTACCCATGTTATTTTTCCTTTTTTGAACAACTCCCACTACCCATGTTATTTTCGTCAAAAGTAACAGACTTATCTTGATTACAAATCAAACAAAACAAACTAAACCCCTAATTTTTTAAAAAGAAAAATGTATGTTACCACAAGATATGTAGTAACAAGTGCCTACTTCATAATATTTAATAGTTATATTATTTTATGAAAACTATAGTATATAAGAATCCAAATGTATAAATTTATATATTGAAATCAAATATCTCCAAATTATTTCTAGTGTTATATCCTAGTCTATTTAGCAGCTATTATCAGCTATACTAGATCTTGATCCGTGTGACCGCACAAATATTTAATATATATTTTAATTTTTATTTATACTTAATGTTAAATTTGTAAATGTAGCTGTATTTGTAAATAAAAATTATATTGAGTATCATCGATATTGAGTATCATATAACCAAATTCAAAATTTATATAATTAGATCCATGTCTAACATATATGGCGAATACATTTTATAAACGAAAAGTACAAAAATAAAAAATTATGAATTAGCATGCTAATTATAAATGATACATTAGTTATAATATTTGTAATAAAATGAAATTATTGTTAAACTTCTACCAAATTTGGAAAATAGAAAAATGAAGATTTAAATTTGATGTAATTGATATAAGACTATGAATGGACTTAAGTTTGTGTACATTTAAACCATGTATACGTGGATATTATTTTTTTCATTTTTTAAATATTTTTTTCTAAGTGATAATATATATTCAAAATTTATCCGTGTTCAATATAGATTCATTTAATTGCTTCAATAGTATTTATTTGTAAATAACTTATAAGTTTAAGGGGTTATTTTTTATTGATATTTTTCTTTTAATAATATAGATATATACCATAAATAATATATATATATATATATATTTTGTAATTCAACCATTACTAATATGTTATGATAAAATTATAGATCCATGGTTAGAAATGGGTCAATTTACTATGATGCTATTATGACTTGAAGTGGTTAGTAAATTTTTTTAAAAATTTTTGTCACAAAAACGTAGTAAAAGAGAATCAATTACAGCGTAAATTACTTCGCTTGGTTAGGATTATTTTGGTTTGTATAGTTACTTTATATGCCATGTGCCAAATGACTATCAACTGAGTGTCACTAAATTGTAAATTGTGCCAAAAGGTTACATGAGTGGGCTGGGCTTAGGTTAAAAAATTAGACAAAGCAATTTGCATTGAATGATCTCCCTCTATATATACACATATTCATCGAGAGAGGATTATAATCTAAAGCACAAAACATATACTTAATATATTTTATTAAAAGAGAGAGAGATATAATGGCAACATACAAATCTCCCAGGAAGTTTGTTAACCTACTATCTCCGGCAGTCGAGTTCATTCAACATTTAACCAGAAAGAAAAATCATGTTTCGTTGTTTTTTGCTGCTGGTAAAATGATCAACTCTTCCAATTTTCATCTCATGTTTCTTGATCATCAATCCAACCCTTTAATTAATTGCTATGTTTCACTGTAGTGGACTTGAGGTTCGAAGTCGAGCCGAAGGACTCGAAAACAATGACCGTGAACATACTTGGGAACCTAATCTCGGGAAGCTACAAAACTGTCACAGCAACATTCACCGTTGGGGAAGGCATGACAAAAACAAATAATAATACATTCACCGTTGGGGAAGGCGTGACAGCTAGCTGCCTCACGTACACCTTTGAATTCGAGAAGATTAGAAATAACATTGAAGATGCAAAGATCGTTGAATCTCTAGTCACGTACATCCGTTTAAGCGATATCAGCTATGTTAGGAAAGTTAAGTACAACTCCATTGACGCTGGGTATCCGGCGGAAGAGTGCTTCAAAGTTTTCGTCAACGCATTTAAAGATGACCGTAAACTTTTCTACTTTGATTTATATAATTTAATTCATTTCTACAGATTCAAACCCTAACTTCTTTTTTTGTGTTCACCAAAAAGATGAGGTGGAGATGGGTGGTGTGGATGGGCAGAGAAGGACATTTGCGATCAACTTTCCTTCCATGATGGAAAATTTCAAGACGACCGAAGTAACCATCACTGTTATTCCTAAGAACAAAGATAGCCGCGTGAAATGGACCATCAAGGTCGAGAAGATTGATGAAAAAACCGAAGAACCATACTCGTTCTTATCCATTGCCTGTTCTATCCGTGAGACTATCCAGAGCAAGTTTCCTAAATAAATGTTATAAATCGAAAGGTTCATCTATATATAGGACCGTCTAAATAAAGTGGCAGCATATCTATGTATATGTCTGCGTTTATTGCCGTATGTGCATGAATTTCTTATAACAGTTGGTATTGGGAATGTATGGACCTCGTAATGCTCTATGAAATAATATATCTATTTTGCATATTATTGTTGGACCGATGATTATAATATATCGAAAAGGCTAATTTAATAATCCGCATTTCGTCACTGGGATACTACTCACACATTTATTAAGATTCTGAAAATTAAATGATTTATCATTGACCAAAAAAAAACACATTAGTATAAGAAATTGAGAATTCTAAATACGTAAAATAAAAATTGAGAGGGTCAAATGCAGATATAAGCCAATTCCCGTCTACTGGCAAATTAAATTATACATACTTTTAACCAAAGAGACATTGAAAATTGGTAGTAGCTATTATCCGTAATCTTTTCATGATCGATTAACAGATAATATTAAAGTTAAGTAATGGATAGTAACGAGACTTAATTAAATTTGTATTACTTAATGTATGGAATGGTGTTCAGGGCATTGGATATAAGTTAGGATTGGCAAGATTCCACATACAGAATGAAAAGTTAGATGGGTAAGGGATTAGGTAAAATTAGTTAATGTAATTGTTTATAACATTCTATACATAATCACATTCATTGAGAATGGTGGATGGATGATAGGTAAAACTAATTACTGTAATTGGTTATAAAAACAACAAAAATGGAAATTTCTAATGAAGTCTCTTGTGATTTAATAAACAAATCAATAAAAGAAGAAAGACTACAAAAAATCAAGGGAAATTGAATCCAGTAGCTATGAAAAAAAAAAACCCAAAAATAATAATCTAGCCAAAGTTTTCTTCTTTCTCCTACTTTCTCTTCCTATCTCTTTCTATTTTCTCTTTTAAAATCTATTTTTTTCTTATTTTTGTGGTTATTTGGCAAATAAGCCCAAAAAGCAATGAGAACCGTTTTTTTTAAAGCTGAAACTGTGTGCTGCACTTAATCTTTAATTTGGATAAATTAAAGCACATGTTATATTTTCTTTCAATTAAAATTTGGTTAAAATGGTCTGGAATATTTCATGTAACAATTAAATTAAATACACAATAATCAGTTTGTATAAACTAAGTGACCGTGTTCCCAAAACAAAACTAAGTGAGTAAACGAGTCTATGTTTCTAGTTTCATCACTATTTTTAGTTTCATTATATTATTATTTCAATTTTATTTTTACAAATATACTGATATTATTAAAAATAAACTATATAATATTGTACAGTTAAAATATTTTACTTATACTTTATTTAACTGTATCACCATTTTTCGTTACAATGTATTATCATAAAATTATTTTGAAATTTATATAAATGTTTATTTAATTGTTATACCAAATAAAATTTAACATTTACAAAATTATATACAAATTCAAATATCACAATTCGAAAAAAAATGGATCCTGCATTTCAACACGGGTCAAATTTATTCCAATTATTTGTGCTATTAGTGAGACTTGACATGGTTTGTCAAAACTATCTTTTTGGTCATATTGATATCAGTTTACATAGCTAAGATGTAGCGCAAACAAAAAAAAAAGGGTTAAAATGTAAGTAAAACAAAATCAATTACAGCGAAATTAAATCTCTTCGCTTGGTTTGAGTTAACTAATAGTACTTTTAAGCAGGTGATAGCAATTACAGCTAATTTATTTTCCCATCTGCCAAATAAATTTACTGAGTGTCAGTAAATTAATTGAATTTTTGTATATCTTTGTTATCGTGATGCTATTAGTTCAGCTTTGAACTCAAATGTCTCTAGGATATTTGTCTCTAGAAATGATGCAAAAGCTGAGTATGTGTTGTGAAATTTATCGGTTTGTAATGATACTACAATTTCTCGGTCTCTAGGATATTTGTCTCTAGAAATAATGCAAACGCTGAAGGCTGGCACTCATGTCTTTGCTATCTATGGTCAGTTTTCTCGGTTTGTAATGTTACTAATACTACAATTTCTCTTATATCTGTCTGGATTGAGCACTAGGTTGATGTGAATGACATGTTACTTTGTCAGGTGATAATTATTTCAAAAGTGTGAACTACACAATTCAAGTTCTTTGTGCTGCTGCCTCATTTACTCAAGAAAAAGAAGACCTTAGGTCTGCAGAAGCTCAAATCTTGAATAAAAGAGCAGAACTTGCAAAGTTTGAGACAGAGTACAGAGAAGTACTTGTGCAGTTCACAGATATGACCAGTAGATACGCTCAAGAAATGCAATCGGTTAGTCTTTTTATCCATTTGTAAAAGCTCCAAATACCATTGACATTAAATAAGAGAAGATATGTTCATGTGCTTTTTTTTTTTACAGATAGATGAGCAGATGAAGCAGAGAAATGAAATACACTCAGCTTATACAACGGCTCCATTGATAGAGCGGAGCTCGAGCAAGAAGGAAAGCAGATGATACAATTTACATTCGAAGTTGGACAAGAAAAAACCTTGTTAAGTCTTTTGTAAATCATTGGTATTCTTTTTATGTAATGCTTTTATATAATTAATAATGTGAATAGAATTGGTCAAATCATATGCTAGGATAATAGTTTTATAACTTTATACATTCAAATTTTAAATATAATCAAGATATACATGTATTTATATATTTCCGGATGGGATCGGATATCCGCTTCCCAAAATTTTAATATTGTGATTTACTTTGATTTTAACGGTTGTTGATTTTTACTATTTGCTTTGCTTCGAAAATTTATGGATATCCGAAATTTTCAAATCGAAACGAATAACAAATCGAATCAAATTTAACGGATAAAATGTCCAGCCCTAACTTCAAGAATGAATATCTTAACTGAACAAGGCATACATAAACAAATGAACATTGGAATACTTGATTTAAATAGACACCATATATGTATGGTTACATAATGAGAGAGTCAAATGCACCAAATTAACCACATCTTAGTCACAATCACTTTCTATTGGTAATCAAGTTTGATGTGTTTGCATAATTATCAGTTACGTATTGTATGGTTTTCGATTAGTTGCTATATCAAGGAGATCAATATCAGTTAAGTGTGAAATTTTATACATACTTTAAACGTAAGAACCCAAAAATGATCTATCTTGAAGAAACCAAAGTTTTGGTGGATCATGAACGGTTCAGCATAAGTTCATCTATTTTTAAAAATGCATGTATAAATAGTAAAACGATATTGGACTCATCTTGAAAAGAAATTGTTTAACTAACCAAAACCATGTGAAAAATCTATAGGAATGTCTGATGAGGAACTTTTCTGGAATTTGATCTCAAACCAAAAATAGGTCCAAGAATATCTAGAATATTTTTTTTAAATGTGTAGAATCTTCCCCAAGGAAAAAAAAAGTCTAAAACTAGTTAGCTCACAAAAACTTTCTGGTGTGTGTTATTAAATTTATCGGTCATTTAATGGTAATTAAATATGTATGTATGTATTCTTTAGTTCAGTTTTACTTACTTTCTACTATTATTTTTTATATAGTGATAAAAATGTGTTTTTACTTAGATATTATTTCAATACCTATTTCTATTCAGTTTAATTTATATGGTAACTTCATTTTTTCTTATTTGAAAAGTAAGAAATAGTGTTAAAATGATGGATAGTATTGTCATGTAAGTTGCTAAAATTAGTATCTTAATTGATCTAAATAATTGCTAATATTGATTCATTATATTCATTAGTTATAAAACTTCTCCGTAACAACTACTCTCTCAGTTTAATTTAGATGTTGTTGTAGAGTAAAAATTTCGTTTCAAAATAAATAACATTTTATTATTTCAATGCAAAATTTATTGATTTTATATGTTATTTTATTTGTTCATTAGTTGAAATGTGGTTAATTGTATCGGTAATGATATTTTTATTTTGAAAATACACAAAATTATTTGTTTTCTTAATATATGTACATAAACCTAAAACAGCAACTAAAATAAAATGGAAAGAATGAATATTAAGTATGGTTCCAACTTCCAATTAATTGTTATGTCAAGCAGAAGGAAAAAATAATAATTAACAATATTTCTATGTTCTTCGTTTTTTTAAGAAAACAAAAAACTATTTATCGTAACTCATGAAGTTGAGATATGAGCAATCCGTCAAGTTTACGTGTTTTGTTGTTATTATCATTTCTAGTTAAGAGACAAATTGGTGAGCACAGATTCTCGTCTTCGCTGGAACATCACTTTCACAGACGACTCACAAAAGCATATGAACGGTATGATACATCCATCCCATTACCCATGTTATTTTTCCTTTTTTGAACAACTCCCATTACCCATGTTATTTTCGTCAAAAGTAACAGACTTATCTTGATTACAAATCAAACAAAACAAACTAAACCCCTAAATTTTTAAAAAGAAAAATGTATGTTACCACAAGATATGTAGTAACAAGTGCCTACTTCATAATATTTAATAGTTATATTATTTTATGAAAACTATAGTATATAAGAATCCAAATGTATAAATTTATATATTGAAATCAAATATCTCCAAATTATTTCTAATGATATATCCTAGTCTATTTAACAGCTATTATCAGCTATACTAGATCTTGATCCGTGTGACCGCACAAATATTTAATGGTATATTTTAATTTTTATTTATACTTAATGTTAAATTTGTAAATGTAGCCGTATTTGTAAATATAAATTATATTTGTACTTAATTTTCTATTTTTATTTTAGCGTTAAATGTATCATCGATATTGAGTATCATATAACCAAATTCAACATTTATATAATTAGATCCATGTCTAACATATATGGCGGATACATTTTATAAACGAAAAGTACGAAAATAAAAAATTATGAATTAGCATGCTAATTATAAATGATACATTAGTTATAACATTTGTAATAAAATGAAATTATTGTTAAACTTCTACCAAATTTGGAAAATAGAAAAATGAAGATTTGAATTTGATGTAATT